CTATTTTCAATATAATGAAAGTGAATGGGGATCTAAGTTCTTTAAGATCCCAAATCACAAAAAAAAAAAAGTTATAATCAGACTAAAATTTAAGTCATTATCCATTTATATCTCTCATATCTCATTTGTATTTCTGTATATTCAGACTTGCTTTGCCACGATCACTTACATGACATGTAATCATCAAGGCACCAAATTTTCAGCGTCTTCAGAGACTTATATTTCAGTCTGTTCCTCCCACGAAACTATCGTATGACTTCCATTTCATTGTATGGACCAATATTTTTCTCTCTCTAAAGAATCCCGGTGGAGAAGTTAATAAATCCATTGTAGGCCCATACACAGACAACTACTATAACTACGACTCTGTCATGGTGGGGACTTTCCATGATCTTCTAGACTGAGATAATATGTCCCAAAACTATGCACTCATAAACCTTTCTGCATTTTTTAGATATTCATTAAGACATTATTTAGTATGTTTATGGTCCCCACAATGCAGGTGATTTCAGGTTTTACTATCCCTACAGGGACCAACTGTAGATAGCATAACCTGACCCATGCACACACATATTTAGCATACACTAGGTTCAACTGGAGTTAACTCTTTTAAAGTCATGCACTTACAAAGAGAGGGTGAGTTCTTAAGCTGGTCAGATATATGTTTTCCCTCAGGCAAACTTCAGAAAACAAACACACACACACACAGACACACACACACACACACACACACACACACACACACACACACACAAAACACCTCCCTCTCTTTAAACGATACCACAGAGTAACGGCTCAATAGTTAATCTCTCTCGATGTTCTTTGTGTTTGAAGGAATTGAGCAATTGCTACATTAGATGACTATTGGCCCTTTGAGGCTGTAATATAAACGTTGAAATGATGCAAACGAAAGGCATATATAGTTGTTTGTCAGGTTTTGGCGATTAATGTCATGAAAACGATGCTGGCTGATGCATATTTATTGTTATATGCCACCTAAAGTGGAAAAATTGTGCCTTGAAACTTATTTCTCTTCCTCTTTCCTTTGCAAACGCAAACTACCCCACTAAAATGGTCTGCTTGTCTCTTAGACTAGCCTGGCTGGTTTTAGAGTAATTTGGGGCAATTTAATGATATTACTTTGCTTCTTGCACATTTTTGACACTTTCAAAGTGAAATGTCCAGTAAGTGGAGCTAAAATCGTGTTCAGTTTAACCTTAAACAGATGAACATGAATCTGGCAATGTTTCATTATTTTGGTTGTTGTACGCATTGCGACAGTTCGGGAATGAAATGTCCAGTTAGTGGAGCTAAAAGTTTAATGCTCTATTGCGTTTTAATATGACACAAAAACGTGCACTAGACCCTACCCAAAACCTAACCGATAGTGTTACAAGCAAATTTGAGCTAAAAATGAATTTGCTGAAGCAGCCATTGTCACGTTTATGGTTGGTTTTGTTTTTGTTTTCTGTGTTTCCGTTATTCCTGCCTAGTTAGTTTCCATGGTTTTTGATTAATTAGCTCCACACCTGTCTCCGTTCTCCCTAATTGCATTCCACGTGTTTATAAGCCCTGTTTGTTCCATAGCTCTCGGTCTGCTATTATTTGTATTTGTTCGTCAATGATGTGCTATGTGTGTTCCTGCCTGCTTTATGAAGATTAAAGTCTGTGTATCGCAATTCTCCTATGTTCTCCGCTTTCCTTGTTCCTCGCTCCATGCTCCTCACAGTAGCATACCGTGACAGAATAGCAGACCAGCAAAAAGTGAGCAGCGCCTCTCCTCCCCGTGTTTCTTTTCCGTTTTTGAAAGTTTTTTTGTTTTCCCAGTTTTTCCCCGTGGCTATGGAAGTTGAATACGAATACTTAGACGACGCGACGCTCAACTCTCTGTTCTGTATCGGGGCTAATTACCATCGCCCCGTGGACCTCCCAGACACCACTGGACTAAGCTGGAGGGATGGGATCCTCCGGTGTCTGGAGAGCGTCCGTCCCCGATCCAGAAACCAGCTCGCCGTCAAGCGCGCCGGCCGCCACTGACTCAGCGCTCTTGGACATGGCGCTACCTCTAGAGTTCTCGGCTCCTATCCTCACCCCAGAATCCGCTCCAGGAAGTTCTCCTTCGTCTCCGCTGGTCCCGTCCAGCTCTCCATCGTCTCCTGATTCCCCGGAGTTAGCCAGCCCTGCACCTCCAGAGCGCCCTCAGGTGCCCGCTCCTCCAGAGCTGCCTCAATCATTTTTTAGGGGGGGGGGCATATGCCCGTGGCCGTGGTGGCCGAGCCGGCTAAGGTCACGGAGGATCTGCCATGGCCTCCTGAGTCCCCTGATCCACCATGGCCTCCTGGACTGCCTGATCCGCCATGGCCTCCTAAATCCCCTGCTCCGCCATGGCAACCTGAACTGTCTGCTCCGCCATGACCGCTCGAGCTGCCTGCTCCGCCATGGCTTCCTAGTCTGCCTGCTCTGCCATGGCTCCCGGAGCTCCCTGATCCGCCTTGGAGGCCTTCCCGTGTCCCTGTCCTGCACCAGCCTCCAGGGCACCCACCCGGGAGGGGGGAGTAATGTCACGTTTATGGTCGGTTTTGTTTTCTGTGTTTCCGTTATTCCTGCATAGTTAGTTTCTATGGTTTTTGATTAATTAGCTCCACACCTGTTTCTGTTCTCCCTAATTGCATTACACGTGTTTATAAGCCATGTCTGTTCCGTAGTTCTCGGCCTGCTATTATTTGTATTTGTTTGTCAATGATGTGCTATGTGTGTTCCTGCCTGCTTTATGAAGATTAAAGTCTGTGTATCGCAATTCTCCTGTGTTCTCCGCTTTTCTTGTTCCTCGCTCGTGCTCCTCACAGTAGCATACCGTGACAACCATGGCATTTTAGCTCACTTCTACAAGTATTTGTGCTGTTTTATCGTTACTCGTATTTCATCGGACTTGTACCCAAGAGCTCCACATCACAAATGCAGTGCTGCACCAGTGGAGCTACCTAGCAAGTTTACTACAACAGAAAATCCATACATATGGAGCTGGTTATGTAAACATCAAAATGTATCAGTTTACTAATCATGCACTATGGCAAAAGCATTTTGATATCAAAATTACACAAGGAACCATGCAAAAATAAGTCTTTATTAATCGATAATCTGTCTCTGTATTCATAATTTGTGTTAAAAGGAATAAAAGTAGTTGGTGTTTTACTGCCTCTAGCTTTTATTTCAGCTGGAAACGATGCAGTTAATTGTATGTATATGGGGTGTTTTGTGGAGTTTCGGAAAAATGTAAGTACTTGTACATTTTTCCAATGAGCCAACCAGCTGAACACCAGCAAACCTGCTTAGGCTGGTCAAAAATGTTTCTACCAACATGGTCACCTTTCGATCTTCAGTAATTCCTTCATTCTCTTTATCAATCACTGGCATTCCTTTAACCCGTCTCTTTTTCTGATGAAAAGAGAGGAAAATAAAGATGGAAGAAGAGTGAAAGAGACAGAGATAAAGTGATGAGCAGCAGTCACTCACTGTGTCTCTTTGAAGGACATTGATTGAGTCATCTATTCCTGATGGTATATATGGCCCTCAGTAGTTTCAGACAGGTTTGGTGTATGTGTGTGTGTTTGTACGTGTAAATGATTTTTATCTCTGTAGGGGGAGGGACAAAAGAGTCTTGATGGAAGGACATCAGAGACATGGAGAAAACAAAATAAAAAAAACACTCAACCAAACGACATGCCTCTGACTAGCATTAGCATGTTTAGCGCCAAATTTAGCCAATATAGAACTTCCAAATGGATTTGTTCTGTGGTCTGTATGGAAATAAAATGTGAGGTAATATTCAATGTTTAAATATAAAAAAAAATAAAAATAAAAATAAAATCAGCACAAATATTTCATATTTCATATATAACATGATTCCTACCAAAAGAGTTATGCATTAAATTACTGTACAGAAAATGTTTCATCATGGCTCAATACATATCAGTGCTCTCCAACAGTGGCTACAGATGCTGCTGATAGAGCTTCATTATTGAACACCAAAAATGACTGTAATTTATGGTTTCACACTGAGTGGAATCTGTGGTAACCATGGTAACATATTTCTAAGGGTTACAAAATGATGAATAATAGGTCCAAATCGTTCATTAGTGCTTAAATGCTTTGTTCTCTCACAATGACCTCATGTGGGAATCGTAAGCGATTTTAGCTTTAGCTAGTTAGACTCGGTGGCTTCACCTTCACAGTGGCCACTGCTGTGTTAATGTGTATGACTTTCACAGAATGCACCATAGACCTGGGAGGCAGGTCACTTCCTCTGGTGCTCCTGTCTTCCTCTCCCCATGGTCCTTTCATTCCCTGATTCCCTCTCTGTTTCCATTTTTCCTTCCCTCTCTCCGAGCAGGACATTAATCAGATGGACACTCAGAGTATCTCTCTTTCTCTCTCTTTCTCCTTCTATCTCTACTTACAAACAACACTATAACCTCTTATTCCTCTGAAGAAAATCAGGAGGTCATTATAGAGATGTGTGCGTGTGTGTGTGTGTGTGTGTGTGTTGGTAAGTGTTTGTAAAAGAGCTGAGTGGCGTTCTCTGTTAGCTAGACATCCTGCTATCAGATAGCTGCTGGCAATACACAGATAAAACCAGATTAACTCTCTCACACACTCTCAGGCAAGAATGGATAATAATATAAATGGATATTACCACCTAATCTAGAGGTTAATGAAGGGTCTTCTTCCTATGTGATTGGGTTCATGTACAGTAATGTCTAAAACCACTACTGTATGTACTGTGTGTGTGTATGTATATATATATATATATATATATATATATAATTTAATATAATTTTAATATGTTTCATTTTAAATCAAATGTTAATTTTAAATATATTTTTTATTTATTCATATTTATTTTAATTTAAATTGAATTGTTTATTTATAAAATATATAGTATATAAGTTTATATAATAAATAACGTTAATTACATCAATATATTATAACTTTATTTCCAGGTTTACGTTCATTTTTAAATCCCATGTTTACAATGTAATCTTAGCTGTTTGGTTTCCATTGTACACAAAAGTGTGTGTGCAAGTTGAAAGGTTCATTATGTGAGCATTTTGCTTTGTTAGAGAAATATTAGCTTATACTCATTAGGAATCTGCAAGGGAGTGCAAAAAAAAACAAACAAAAAAAAAAGCGAGGTTAATAATTTTCACATACTGCAATGTGGTCAACGTCAATGCTCCCGTGAGAATGAACAGCTCTAAAGATCAGGTTACATCCAAGGGTAAGTTAAAGGCAAACTTAACCTAACACAGGTGTGCTTTGAAGTTAATCTTAAAATTTCAGATTTACCTTTAGTGCTCACTTTGATTATTACATGCTGACAATCAAAGTCAAATTACTTTTAAATGTAGGTCATTGGCAACGTCGCTCAAGCAGACCTGAACACTGATACTTACACTAGGAGTTTCAGGGTTTAATGGTTGAATTAGTCTAAACGCAGACCTCATGTCAGGAAATGTGCTACAGGATAGTTGAGCAGATGCAGGTGAACATCCATAATTGCTTCTGTGGCCTCTACTGCAATGAGGCAATAGGTTTCAGGCAGTTTTGCAGAGGGCCATGTGTGTGTGTTCTGCTGCCAATGCCTGTATATCAGCAGAACGACTTCATGGGCATCGCAAAAAACATTGGCAGGTCTTCAGCATCCACTTGTTACGGGAACTGCGCCATCGCTGGGACATTCACGAGTTGTTGTGAAATTGAAAGCAGAACAAAATATCAAGGAAAAACCAAATGGGATATATATTAAATTTACTGTAATTTCAGTATATCGGTGGAATCAACTGCCTACCCATCACCCCGTGCGATTTTTCTTATACCTTCAAATGTGCTGATATCAAACAAATGGAGAGGAAGATGAAAGGTGTGTGAAGGAAGGAGGAAATGAAAGGCAGATGAGACGATGTGTACATGTTAAGAAGAGGCAGAAAAAGAGGAAGCACGTGTCTGTACGCCTTGCGTTCCCCTCTACTTCACTTTTCATTATTTCATGCTTGCTGCGTCTTTTTAAAGGTGCTCTCCTTCTTTGTCACTTTCTTGCCGGCACCTCATTTTTTTTCTACCGTTGCCTTGCTTTGTGGCCTCAGCAGGCAGGATGACGGGCGACTACTCCACTGCCGCCTGCAGCGCTGGTCTTTATCACACTGTACACGCTAAATATAGCCCACTCCGTGAATGCGAGCGAGCGAGCGTCTACAAATGATTTAGTGTGTGCATGTATGTTTGCATCAAGAAGGGTTATATAACCTGGGGAAAGCTAACGCTTAGCATTAGCATTAATCTCAAAGGCAGTTGCTGAGCTAGTGCAGGACTCCCTTGGAAGCATGCAATTTACAATCGCAGCTATATCAGTGTTCAATGAAGATTGTTTTTAAACAGAATGAGGCTAGCCGACGCTAACCAGACAGTGTGTGTGTGTGTGTGTGTGTGTGTGTGACAAAGAAACTTTGTTACTGTGACGCAAATTGTGTAGTCTGATTTTTTTCCTTTAGCACTAATTAATTTCTCCACAAGGTGGCAACATTGCCCGGGGCCGTTGTTTCACAGCCACAAAATAAACAGAAGAGACAACAACAACAAACTACTGGAGACGGCAACAACAGATGCCTGTGTTTTGACGAACACTTTTGTGAGGGGTTTAGATATACCCACAACTTTACTTCAAACCAGTACAAAGACTTTGTTGTCACACATGACATCTGGAGAGACAATGATGATGAAACTGTTTAGTGTGCATGTGTCCACCGCATGTGTTCGAACACTATCAAATGGTGTACTTTGAAAGGCTATGTTTTGACTGTGCGTGTACACTTTCAGAAAAAAAATAATAACAAAGGTACAAAGTCGTCACAGGTTTGGTACTCTAATGTACAAAATCTAAAAGTTACATCTTTGTACCTTATTTACCAATAAATGGTACATATTAGTTTCTTAAAGGGACGTATATGTACCTAAAATGTACATACTAGTACCTTTTGAAAGGGTACCCGCCAAGTGACAGTGATGTATCATTTTTTTCTGAGAGTGTAGTGTAAGAACTTGTTTGCCAGACAAGGAGTTTCCCAAACCAGCTTGCAAATTCACACGGGAGACTATAAAACTTGGGTAAACCCCAAAGAGAGCAATAGAGGTGGTTGTCTAAGTCATCTAAGCAATTCCAGGGGACAGAATGCTTACTATCTCCCTCTGTTGGTCAACTCTATCATTCTTCCCCACAAATGCAAAATTTCTCAGGCTGTTTGTCAAGCTCATCAGACCAGGGTTGGGAATATCTTATTTTGAAGACTCAATTACTTTGCATACATTTCTGATGTGGGTTTCAGTGGAGACTCAAAGTCTCTCTCTCTTTCTCTGTCTCTCACTGTGCACTTGCATGCAGAATGATGAATCTGTACACATGGTGCTGGTGTCAGAGAGAGTGGGGAACAGATGGTGCTCTACGCTCAGAGGAGAGGTTACGGACGCCAATAGGCAGGCAAATGCAGCCCAACACAATTACCGACATCCACTCTCTATTCCTCCAGTTGAAATATGAATATAGGACTGTGTTCTTCTGGATAGGCAAATGAGGAGACAGTGAGGTCATGGCGAGTTACTGCAGACATTTTGATTTTTTTATGCTTACAAAACACACGGCAGATGTCACCTTTCATAATGGCTGTGTATGTATTTAAGTAGACAAAATGCAAACTGTTTTTTTTGCATGTCAAAATGGCCACACAAAGATGCAAATAAGCGATAGATGCGGAATAAATGAAGCTCAAAGAGTTCTTAAGAAATGAAAACTAATAAACAGTAATTTGTGTCTGTAGCCTAAGGTGTGTTTATACTGAAACAGAGATTGTCTGAGGAGAGTTTTCTTAACGGTCAAACACACTGTTGCATAATGTTAAATGGTTCATTTTCTGAATACTGTACCTGTCACAACATGTCTAACAGAGCCAAAGGTTTGGTGACGAGAGCGAGGGCGACATTGGCAGGAACTGAGAGATGACATTCTACTGTTAAAAGAAACCAAAGCCAAAAAGTCATTAGCTGGTTTTCCATCTACAATTCTTGATGCAGATTTTGGGATATAGCCTAAAAATGCTGGATGGGAAAAAGATTAATAATAAATAAAACCATAAATAAATAATTAAAAACTTTAATTTCCAAAAAGCGAGTAAAAAAACAAAAACAAACAAACAAACAAAAAAAACTGGTACAACCAGTGCAAATATTTGGGGCTAGTAATATTATTTAATGTTTTTAAAATAATTATCTTATTTTTATCAAGGCGGCATTACTTGATAAAAATGCAGTAAACAGTAAAATTGCTAAATATCAATTAATATATTATATATAACATTTACAAAATTTTTTTGTGAAAACTGTAATACATTTTGGGGGGATTGTTTGATGAAAACACAGCATTTATTAAAAAAAAAAAGTAAGATTATAAATGTATTTTACTGACTTTTAGCAATTGAATTCATCCTTTGTAAATATTAATAAAAAAAATAATGATAGTTAGCTAAAGCCAAAAACACACTGAGAGAGCTGCTAAATAAAGCATGGGGATGGGAAGCTGTCTGCCTGATGACAGATGCAATGATCCCAAAAGGAATTCTGACAAAATAACAAAACATAATCCCAAAAGAATGCTACATACATGGGATTCTGTTCGGAATGCCTGAAATCTGATGTTGGACAGCCACGGGGTACAAAAATTCTAGCAAAACAAACTTCGGCATGCGACATGGCTTCTTCACTAGCCTAAGATACTGAAACCAAAAGACACTAGAGAATTCCACAGAAACAGGAGACGACAAACAAACACACTGACAAACATGTAAACACGATCTCACAAAAACACACAGTATGAAAGCTGCTTATAATCTCTATATTGTGTTTGTTCACCAGGACTACTGCTGTAACTCCACAAGCACACACTCATACACACTAATGCACAAAAATAAACATTTTTGTGGGAGACAGACAGTTCAAAACAATACCTGCACCATTCAATTCATCATCATTTCACTGTACTAAGGCCTTCTGTTAAACCTTATCTCCTCTGTAAACCTGATGGCACATGACAATGTATTTGTCATTCCTTTGCAGTCATCTTTGACCGCATCTCAGATCTGCATCTAGATTGCTACAAAGTTTCAGTGACATAATGCTTTCAGTGGAACATCACAACAAATGTAAAACTAGAATATGATAAAAGTCTCAAGGCTTTAGAATAGAGTAGGGGAGCACAGGGTTAGTTGTAACATGCGTGGTTTAAATATTTCCACACTTGCTAGCATAACCAAATTTACGGCACTTAGTAGTTGCCACATCAAAACTATATAGAGAAAAAACTGTGCCAAAATTTACAAAATATTTTTAAGATATCACTGAATATTTATTTTACCATAGTAAAAATATGTTTATGGCTGAAATAGATTTTCCAACTCAGTTTTTAGTATTAATTTAAAATTAGACAAATCTGCTATTATTTTAATCTCCAATCTGTTATTTATCAGTTTAGATTTTTTATGTTTTTTGATGCTTCGCTAACTAGCAGAAGACACTAACCAGTTTTACATTCCAGTTGTGCAGATGGGGAACATTATAACACTGTGTTACAATGTGCCCTGTTATTATTAAACTATGCTATTATATGACATTAGTGATATAATTTACACTATTTACTTTTATGAGTTTTAATGAGAAACCACAAGAAACAGGTGAATAAGACTGACAATGGATGTTTAATATTCAGAAATTAGTATTTAAAAAATGTAAAGCATTTTGGCTCGTTTATGTGTCTCGTGTTCTATGAGAGCTGTATGTGGAGGGAGGGGAGTGTATCTCTGTGTTTTTCTGATTATCTGAATGTGTTTCTTCATATATTTGCTCAAATTGTTTTGAACTAGGCTATACTGAATAGCTGTGTCTTGCGATAAGGGTCGTCTCAAGCATGGTTGCAATGTGTTCGTCGTCAAAATCCAAAATTAGATGGGGCATGTTGTCACATTTCACTTCCATTCTTTTGAGGTAAATAACGAAAAACTTTACAATTACACTGTAATTATGAAACAAAGTGAAATATTTGTACTAGACAAGTGTGAAATTACTGTGGATAAAAATATATATACATACTCTGAACCCCACGTGGATTTACTCAAACTGAGAACGTCAAAAAGTGTTAGGTTGTGCCCCGCGCTCCCCTACAATTGAGTTTTTCCACAAACAGAAACGCTGCATGTCAAGATGCTTAGACGCATCAGTAACCTTCAGGCATCCATGAACGTGTTGCCATGAAACCCGATCTATGTTTAACAGCGGGTATGTCATATGGAATTATCTGAACTTGTTCTCTTGAACGGAAGATTATACAATCTGTACACCCTATGACAAACCGTTCTGGTCATAAAAGAAATTAAGTCTGTGTTTGTTTGCTTCACTTTTTCTTTCTCTCCCAGATGTCACCTTTGCGGCTAGTGAGCAAAGGTAAAAGTAGATCTATGAGGTGGCAAAGAAATAAGAAATAAAAGGGAGAGAGAGAGAGACTTCTTTGTGTTCTTAGACAAGCATCTGATTTGAACCCACAGTTCAGGACCTCTTCCCAGAATACAAAGCACAATTTTATGCACCTCAGACAAAGCAGCGGTCTCTTCTATGTGCACACAAAGCCTCCTCCACTCACTTTGTACACCTTTTGTTTGTTTTAAGTGCTATATTTTCCAATGCTAGCACACTGGCATGAGATACTGATGTTCGCGGTGTACACTCCTGCTTTCAATGAGGCTCTGCATTGTTTTCTTACATCAAAATAATTAAAAGACTGAAGCGCATTATAGTCACATAAGGTGGCACGGACAGGACAGTGTGCGTGTGTCTATAAAAAGCAATATCACAGGAATTAAAAATACCATTTTAAATACTTCTGTTGTGAAAAAGGAGAGAGTAGAGAGAGAGAGATCATATCACGAGTAAACAAGAAAAAAAAAAAAAAACACCCTGCTACTGCAAACCCAATAATCAAAAGATATCGACCGCTCTTGCTAATCAAGCCAGACCGAGTTTCCTCAGAAAACATGATGTGTGTGCGGGTTCGGATGTGTATTTAGCTTCTACTTCCTGATTAGGTACATTTGCTCATTTCCCAAAATGCCTTGAAATTAATGAACAAACAAGTGACCAGCGAAACCTCAATGATAATTAGCACAGTTATGAAGCGACTCCCTACAGCTCTCATATGCCAGAGACTTACAGTCGTGTTTATGTGCAAATTATAAGCTGTGTGATTTATTGGCTGGTGTCTCCAAAGCCTCCAGTGGGTTTACTGGAAGTGATGTTATTGGCTTCATATTTTGAAGAGGTTCTCATTTGCTAAAGGGAAATTATGAAACTCAGTCCTGTTCGTTTTAGAGCGTTTGGTTAGAAAACAAGATGCCGTCATTTGAAGTACAGATGGTAAACCCACATGCCAGAACTCAAACTTCCTCCTAGAGTCTGGCAAGCCTAGAACTTCAAAAAGTTACAGGGTCACCTCATCAGGGAAGAGGGATATTTTTGATCACGGTGACTGACAGGAAGACATAATGCACCACGTCCCAGAATACGTGTGTAAGCCAAGAATTACGAATAGTTTTAATTGCAAAAATGGAGAAAATGCTGTGATAAACATCCTGGTTTACACTACCATTGCAAAGTTTGAGGTCAGTAAGATTTTTAAAAAGTTTTTGAAAGAAATCCATCTGTCTGTCCGTCCATCCGTCCATCCATCCATCTATCTATCTTTCATATTCGTAATCTAATCTATCTATTATTATTCTCTGATGAATACCCATTTCAAAAGAACAATGTTAATAAAAAAAAAATGTCTTTACTGTCATTTTGATCAAAATGATGCCTCTTTAAGAATACAAAATTATTACTTTTTTCTTACTGACTGCAAACTTCTGAACAGTAGTGCATTACTGACTTTTTCTGAGACCAAATTGTAGTCGAATCAAGCAGCAGCATTTTGGAAGGAACACTGAGTCCTACTAAAAACGATTCGATTTGATGCAACCAACAGGAATATTTCAGCTGTGAACGGATCATCAGGATACACAAATCACCCCTGAGAAAAAAGAACACAGTGACGTCGATTAGAAGCATTAAAATGCATCAACACACCATGCTCATCTACACACAAACATATACGCCTTCATTGATATTCAGCCAAAGCAATAGTGTGAATTCACACACTGAGGTGAGGTGCCGTTGAGACGTTTCTGACCAACCCTATAAGACAATAACTCGCTGAATATTATTTCCTCCGTCTTTGTCTGTTTTTGTGTCCGACGCATAAACTCAAATGAATGCTGGTCAGGACAATAGCCACAGCTGGCCAGGACATCGGCCATTGTCTGGTTTGTTTGAGCAATGACACTGTTTTATAAATCAGTATGACTTAACAGGAAAAACATGTGAATACCAACTAGACAGATCGAATTTCCCCTTCCTTACACGAACAATGGCACAGCCTTCTCATAGCTATCTTAATTAGTGATACAAATCAGTTAATTGTGAAAGAACCCTTGATATTAGCTGCCGGTCATGACTACTATTTGTGCAGTCGTTCAGATGAATGCTGTCCATGTTTATTTAGATGCAACAGTATAAACATGGGAGTGTCTCTGGTCTCATTTAACTGCTATTTTATTATAATGTGACTTTTCTCCTCCCTAAGTGTTTATTTATTTATTATTCATTCACTTGTTTAATTCACTCTCTTTGTTTATAGCACTGCATTCCTTTAGCAGTGAAGCTCACACAAATCTTTCGTGTTTGCCACATCCCGTTTTTTTCTAGAAAGTACAAAGTTCCACAATAAACAATGAAAAAATGTTATCCTGTTAAAAACAGCATTTTCACCACTTCAGCTAATGCTTAAATAGGAAACCACTTAAAAAGACACAAGAATGCAAGCTTTTTGGAAGCACTTTTTCAAAAGTCACATTTCTGGAATAATATTTCAGCTATGGATTAGCATTTGTGAGTGTTTGCCAGATCCAAAAGCTTATCTTATTCTGTCAAAGATGGCCAAGGTATTGGTACTGTTGGAAGGATCTTTGATCTTGAATATGCAAGTACACCTCTGAGGTGTGGATCAATACCCCTCTCTTCCTATTCCGTCCTCCCTGCATCCCTCCTTCCCAGCCTCTCGTCGTTTTTCATTGAACAGCAAGCTCTTTCATACTGGCGCTGCCCATTAGGATTCAAGTGTGGTGTTCAGGCAAGCTCTCCGACTTAAACAAATGACAGTCTCTCCGTCATTTCCATGTCTTACTGTTGGACTCTATTTTTCTGTCATCCATGGAGGCTGTTACACATAAATAGCTCGGGTCGGCCAAAGAACAGTTTATGACTGGTTGAACTTGTACAGGTGATGTCTGATGTTTGAATATGGGTTTGTGCATGATTGGTGTGTTTACACACTCTCTGTGTGCTGATATCACATATACACACATCACATATACATCGTACTTATATTTTAAAAAATACCTGCATGTAATTACATCTGTCATAAATTTCTGTAATTATATTTATAATTACACTGTTGGCCCATCCCTTACACCTGTGGGTGGGTCCCTTAAACCTACCCAAACCACCAAAACTGTTTCTAACCTTACTCGTATCCCACCTCAATAGCAGCAAAAGTGTTTTGCAATACAATATGAACACTAAGTACATTGCACTTTTTTTTTATGTAAGTACATAACAGTTAAGGCCAACTTATATAAAATGGGACCCAATTTTATATTAATAATTGAACTGCTCATCATGTATTGAAGTAATTTTATGCATGAATAAATTAATAGATATGAGAGAAAAAAAAAAGATTGTCACGTCATTGACCCTAACCCTAATTGTTTATAGTTGACGTCAGCAGCCAGGCAATGCCTGTGGCTTGTAAATGTTCACCAGAGGAACATCAACTTCAAAAATAAAACTAGGAACTAGCCCGAGTAACAATGGATGAGTTCTACCTCCGAGCATCCTGGGAGGAAGACAAAAATGTGTGTGTGTGTGTGTGTGTGTGTGTGTGTGTGTATGCATTTGTGTGCTTGCATATGTTTTTGCATGTACATGCATGCATGTTATTGTTGATAAGAAGAAGTTGAGTGAAGTTGTGGCTTCTAACTGTGCTTGTAGCGCTGGTTGACTGAAGATATGGAAAGACCGCATTGTAGTGCACTTCAAAGCCTACATTCTCATATCGGACTTGTGCATTAGCGCATGTTCTCAACCGGCCCAAAAGGACTCGACTAGTTGTGCATATATATTTGAAATTAGTGTAACTATGACTAAACGCTAAGGCTGTAGTTGCTATCAAGCGAGTCCAACATCACATATGGCGTGGTACCCGAGTCTCCCTCCTGGGCTCATCGTTTGGCCTAGTTCTCTGTGGTCAGCCCAGATGGAAGGGTCTTTATTTTGGCTCTTTCAGTCGATCACAGCACACAATAGGGCGACTGGTCACTTTTCTTACGTTCCACTAAAACGTTTCTTCACAAATAAGAGACTCATCAGTCTGCCAAAGACAATAGAGGACAAATAAGCAAGATCATAGCAGCAGTCCATTTCTGTCCTGTTTGAGTTTGTTTGTAAGCATGTGTTTGTTTGCATTAGGCCGCTGGCCCATTTTGAGTGTGAGAGCTACAACAGCAGTGTTAATGGTCACAACACATGGCATTCAGAGCAGGCTGGAGTTTAGGGGCCGAGGGCTGTGCCGTATAAACAAAACTCATCCAAAGAGATAGAGAGAGAGAGAGCGAGAGAGAGAGAGAGAGAGAGAGAGGACACAAAAAGAGAGAGACAGAGTGAAACTGAGTGAGTGATGACTGCCAATCAAAATGGAGTGCCGCAGCTCTATCTCTCCAAGCAAACGTCACGTTTCTGGCACGAAGGCCAGAGGAGATGGAAACGTAAGAGGGATGGGGCAGGGGAAACTGGAGACTTAACAGCAGTGAATGCCCATTATCATGCTGTGGCAGGGCTGAAAAAAGGACAAAAAATAATAACATAATAAATAAAAACAAACAAATAGGAAGGCAGGAAATGGAAAGTAAGCAGAACTGGCAGGGGCATCTTGGCTTCTCTATAGAACCCATCTGCATTTCTTTACAATCATAAAACCACTCTAGGGCAGCATTTATCAGCCTGATACAGCCTCTGGAAAGGGGGGAATTAAAGAGCCAAAATGAGATATGGGGAGATAAAGATGCTATGTGCGCAATGGCTGCCATTTGCTGCGAGATGCCCCCAAGGGGAGCAGGTTGTGATGGAGAGCCACAAATTTACACTTCGAATGTTTTCCGAGTAAGTAAAGCAACAGCCGTGTCTCGCGCAAGACAGGTTCAACCAGCCGTTCTGTTCCGACGCATGCTGGGAGTGAAGTCGAACGGGAATGATTCAAGCCCTGGACCCGTGCCAGCTCCGATACCTCGGCTGTTTCCTGTGGCGCAGGTTCTGGGTGACCCCTGTGGCGGGCGTGTTAGAACATGCATGGAGATGGTTTCAGAGAGGTTAGTGTCGGAAAATAATGCTATTGTCGTCATGGCTTTTGAATGGCAATAAGCAGAAAATACATTGGGTTAATGGGTTAAACAGTAAGAGGGTGCGCCTGTGTGAGTGCTTAGCACCGGTTTCTTACATGTCAAAGTCCATTACAGATGTCAATCAAATAAAC